AAAATTATTTAAATAACCTAGTTTATTGATTCTATTGAATCGTCTGGTTTTTATTACAAATAACGTTGGCCCGGAGTAAAAGTACGCCTAGCTCGTTGGTGTGAATATAAAACAACGTAATCAATACTCCTTGTGTGTGGTAGGTAAATAGAAAGTGCGGGCAATGTTCCATGTCAGCCGTGTATCCATCCCTTGTATGGGAGACAAGGCAGAGTAAACCAAACGTTCTCACGTACATCAGGAATGTCACGCCCCGCGTCCGTGCTGTTTTCTATTTCATACCGCTCTTCTAGCCATCGTTACTGCTAACTTGGCTTGCAATGAGTTATGAGTTACTAACGGTACAGTGTAATGTCCTTTGACAAAAAGTCTGTGTCGATCATAGGAATTCTCAAGATAAACAGTACCAGCCCAGTAATATAACAGGATGTGCGTTTTTTCTCGACACGAGAAATGTCTTTTCTAAACTTTTTGGGTCTAATATTTATTTATTGATTTTGGATTGCAAAGATTTTGGATGGTTTGCAAAAATATGAGGGACACTGCCATTGCGCTAGTCACCCTGAGACATAAGTTGACAAGTCCCATGTGCCTGTAATTTCACCAGTACCCACATTACTGCAGTGCTCACATTATTGCTTGGCAGCAGAAATAGTTCAGGTGGCAGTGTATCCCTTTACTTGATTACTATTCTTCTTAAAATAAATTAACTATTTGATGACTAATACCGTCTCAGTCATAGGATCTGTAAGAGCCCGAAAAGTTGGCTTATCTGAAAAAACACACGATTTGGTTTCGAAAAAATTGTATGTTTCTTGAATGGTTAATGAAAACATTGTGAGAAAACGTATGTGTCACAGAAACTTCACTAACATTTTTGGAATGCATGTGAAATGCTCTACAAGTATTGTGACAAGAATAGTTGCCATATTTACGATTCTCAAAACACATGTTATGTCAGCCGTTTAGACATATATATCCAGAAATAATATAACATCAAAAATAACGCGTTATTCTATTACCGCTGCCGCTGGCATACCATCGTCTGTTGTTACACATGTTTCCGCTGGATATTCAAGGCGCAACATTCCCTAAACTGTATCGAACTACAGCAGGTATATTTACTTCGTCGTGGTGAATGTTCACTGATCCCACGGCGCCGACTCAACCGGCGAGAGGGAAACCCGGGGGGGTTTTAGTGGGGTAGGCCTTCCAGTGTTGAGGGAGAGTCCCCACATAATCCCTGAGTCTCCCTGGGCTTATAAAGATTTCCCCCCGTCAAAAAAAAAGGTATATTTACTTGTAAATTGTTACTGATAATGGTATAGGTAGATCAAATCCCAAATTTTTAACCGATTTCAAAAAAAAGGAGGAGATTCTAAATTCGACTGTGTGTCTTTTTTGCTTGTATGTTATGCGTAACTTTGTGAACCGATTTCGATGGTTATTTTTGTTAGAAAGGGAGTACGTCAGATGTGGTCCCATTTAAATTTGAAAAAAATATAATAAGAGTGGCAAGCTAGGGGTTGAATAACTTTTGAGGTCGGTTTTTTTAGTACTCTGTACTTGTTTTTCTGAGCTCTTTTCGAATGAATTATTCCATTGTATATCACGTCACCCACAAAAATACGATTTTTTCGTTTAAACGTTTAACCGTTTTACAATGAATTGATAGTATTTGGAAAAACTTTATTTTGTTTTACTATTCTGTGTATCTATTCCTGTTTTTGTATTAGTAATTTACATCAAAAAAATATCTTTATAAAATATTAAACGGACGAAGTTTTTTTAACTCTTTATTTATTTAGGGGCGTTGATCATTCAATAATGAGCATGTCAGCACCATTAAAAAAACGATACATCAAGAAAACACTTAGTGAAATCCAGACAGATAAATCAAAATATTCCCAACACAAGCATACATTTGCTTAAAGGGAGGGCCTGATCTACCATTGTTGAACCAAATTGAGAAATAAATAAATTTTTGATTTAATTAAAAAAAAAAAACTAATACTACTAAGTACTATAATCGAGGGCTGTAGCTCAGATGCATTGCGAGAGGTACTTTTAATAATATAAAACCGGGATCATTTTAAAACTTTGGTTTATTTTACCAATTTACATGTTTAGGGTTATAAAACAATCATCTTAATATGTATGTCAAGACCTTTCCTTGTTTTCTTAGCGTTCC